GTGCAGCCCGGGCCTTCCCGATTAGATGACGGTGTAAACTCTGCCGTGGAAGGTGGAGCAGGCCCCCAGGGAGGCTGCGAAACCCCCGTGCTCAGAGATGCTCACTGCTTGGCTGGGCGAGGGCCGGGACAGCTCTCCCAGCTTAGCTCTTTTTTTTGGTTTAATTGTGTTCAGCGAAATCATAGAATGTTTGGGGTTGGAAGGGACCTCTGTGGGTCACCCAGTCCAACCCCCCTGCCGAAGCAGGGTCACCTACAGCAGGCTGCACAGGACCTTGTCCAGGCGGGTCTTGAATATCTCCAGGGAAGGAGATACCGTAGGCGAATTCCCATGAGAGTTTGATTAAAATGTTAAATGCGAGGAAAATACTGCCTGGCCCAAGCTGAAGAGCAGCAGTATGAATGCGGCTTTGGTGTACCTGTGTGGTGTTTGGCCCCGGGGGATCCTGATGCAGCTCTGTGAACTCCTGACTTTGTTCTCCTGGGTTAGCTGAGTGGCAGAGGAACTTCTGTAAGGCAGAGAGCGGTGTCGAGGCAGTCCGGGGAGATGCCGTAACTGCACTGAAAAGGACTCGGATTTCAGGGTGTTCTTAGAATCCAGAGTTTTACCTTGTGTCTTTTTTAATGACCCTAAAGATCCTAGCATCACTAAATTTTAATTATAATTGTAAAACAAATTAGCTTAACATCTTTCTAATTTCATTTTTAGGGCCTTTCCCTTTTACTGCAGGGAAGAATGGGCTTAGCGGGGTGAGGTAAAATGAGTTTTGTCGCTAGTCTGTACCGTGGCTGCGTGGCCCTTTTTCTTCTTCAGACATTCACTCACGCTTTGTACATAGGCCAACAGTTGCATGCAGGTGCTGGGTTGCCTATTCTGGTCTCACAGAAGTTGGTGTCTCAGATAGTTGTCAGCATTTTATATAGCCATGGTCACAGTCTGCTGCGAGTGCCCTGCAGTCTTTAATCAGGCCGCCAATGTCCTGTACAGTTTTAGATACTTAGTTTGACTCTGAATTTACATCCAAGTGATGATAGGAAATAATTGGTTTGCCTAGTCTTAGCCAAAAAATCCAGGAGCAGCAGATCTCCGCAGTCTCAGTGTCCTGCTTCCTGGAAAAACTTTCCTCCTACGGCTTAGTCTGCACATCGGCTTCTGTTCTGCATCTGGCTCCGTTCTGTGCTGACGGCATGGTACAAGGATAGAATGTGGAAAACCAGCAACCTTTTTTCCATGATGTCTCAGATGACTGACGATACAAATGCCTTGCTTCATGCTTTTGAAGACTCTGGAAAGAAGTATTAAAGCTGATTTCCTGCCACATCTAATCTGAGTGGTTTCTTCCAGTAATTCGTAGCTTCTCAGTTTTCTAGCATGTTTCTTTACAGTGATAATGGAGAGCCAGGTTCCTTGCTGAATGCTGAATTGGGTTTTCAGATACATTGGTAGATGATACATCAGCATATATGTCAGTTATTAATTAATAATATAAATGAAAATAAGGTAACCAGGAGCCACATAAAAGGATTGTGAATGGTGGATTTCTGTCATCTGCTTTACACGTCTCCCAAGTACCTTCCAACAGAGTGAATGACTTCCTTTGTTTAGTATATTTCTTGTATTAGAAATACATGTTTATCATGGAAGAAGATTTTTCATAAAACACTATGAATTGTTAGAATTGTAAAATCATAAGCTAGGAACATTTTAATCCTAGGTCTTGGAGAAATACGTGATAATAAAACGATTCTAAGCATGGTTGTTTTGCTTGCTTTCTTCACAGTGTTATAGTAAACATAATTCACAGTGTCAAAGGATACCATTCAAAGACAATACGTTTTCTGAATGTGGCTTTTGACAGTTCCGGAGATTCTCTACTCGCTGGAGACCAGCAAGGGAATATTTATGTTTTTGACTTGAATGGAAACAGGTAAGAATATTTCTGTCAAGACTTTGTAATTGTCTTGACATCTCTAACATTCAGGGGTATGGAACTTGCCTGTACAGCATGCCACGGGTCTGGTTTTAACCCTCAGTTTTCCATGAATGTGGAAATAGATATTAGTTTGCTTAGAACTGAAACTACAAGCCAGTGTCTCATGTAGGCTTTTATTGGTTTAGCTGCTCCAGAAGATCCGAAGTTCGTAAGTCTGAACTGAACAGACCACAATTTCACAGAACTGAAATACTACCACAAGAAGTTATTCTTTGGATGGTACCGCTCAATTAGTAGTATGAGCCATGAATTAAAACGAAGTAGACCTACTATTGTCATTTGCAGAAATACATTAATCAGTCTTTTCAATTTTACACTACTGAGTTTTAAAATATTAGCACTGATTTTGAGGTTTATTATAATTAGATTTTTTTTTCCTCCCTTCTGCTGAGTTAATTTATTTTTTCTCTCATTGAAATGTACTGAAACTGATAAAGTTATTACTTAACTTGACATTATGAACGAAAGTTTCCTAACACAGTGAGAATGTGTGTTTTTAAATAGGTTCAACCTTGTTCAGCGAACAATGCAGGCTTGCACTGCTTTGGCATTTAATCTTCGCAGAAAGACAGAATTTCTGGTGGCTTTGGCGGATTATTCCATTAAGTGCTTTGATACAGGTAAGGAGAAATTTAAAGGCTTACTGTCTGGATTTCTGAGAAAACCTATGTAATTTTGGTTTTGATCTCAAATTTTTATGCAAGATTTTTTGATGGAAATCGTAGAATCATAGAATGGTGTGGGTTGGAAGGGACCTTATAGATTATCTAGTTCCAAACCCCCCACCACAGGCAGGGACACCTTCCACCAGGCCAGGTTGCTCAAAGCCACATCCAGCCTGGCCTCGAACACTGCCAGGGAGGGGGCAGCCCCAGCTT